TCCTTGTGGTTAGTGCTGCCAACGGAGGCAGCGGGTTTTGCCTCCCTGTGCACACTCTCGTTTCCTAAATCCCTGCACCATAAACTTGCTCTAAAGTCTTCAGTGAGCATTCTGGGTGTCCCTGCTGGAGCAGGGGCTTGGACTAGGTGATCTCCAGAGGTGCCTTCCACCCTCAACCAGTCTATGAGTTGCACCTTAGTTTCGCTGTTCTTTGGTTTTGCTGCTGCAGTTTTTCGGAGGGGTTTGGGGTACTATTTGCAGGATGCTAATGTACCTTGCCAGGGTGCGACTGGTCTAAATCCTGGTGTCTGCAGTGCAAGAGCTGCCAAAGTAGGTTCTTTGCTGGTAGCCAGGTGGGTTCTGTGCGCACAAGAGCAGGCAAAGTCTGGTTGCACCTGAGGACCTTGCTTGGCTCCTGGTTCCTGGTTACATAGAAATGGTTTCCTTGGTCCCGGTCGGTCAGGAAGCAGTTTGTGATGGAAGTGTCAGGCAGGTGCTAGGCTGGATTGCACCCGAGCTCCAAAGTTCCCCTGGGCAGCAGCTCGGAACAAGGTCAGCAGCCCAAGCAGCCCTTTGCACATGATGGGAGGGAGAGCCCGGAGTGCACCAGGAGGATCCCGGTGTCGGTGCCCAAGGCCCCAGGATCCGAGCACGCTGCCGGGCGCATCCCGGTGGCAGTGCCCATCAGGAGTCTCACCGTGTTTCGCCCAGCGGGCACAGAGGTGGCTCGGGGATGGAGCCTGCCGAGATGAAGGGAGCCTCAGCAAAGTGAGACAGATAATTCCAAGTGCTGATTCACTGCTGGCAGTTGAGTAATTCATGAGCTTTTCTAATAGAACTGATGTCCCCATGCCAGCTGGGTGACCCACAGAGCTCTCTGCTCTTTGCTGTCCTCTTGCATCCCACAGGCTTGTCCTTTTGTCCTAAAATCTGAGCAAAGCCAGGGCTTTTCCTCATAGCCCCTTGGAGGAGGAATCCTTTTTAAAATGTGATAGATGGATTGGAGCAAATACTTGTTTGCACAGGCTTATGTAAGCGTGGAGCAGGAAGCAGGTCTTGCCAGGTGCCCTCCAGGTTGTCCAGGGGTTGTCTTCTCTGCAAATGCCCCTGATGAGAACAGAACTGCCCGCAGGTCTCATCCTTGAAGGTCCAAGTGAGGGTGCTGGTGGGAGTGGGCGCCCAGCCCAGACTGTATCAGGCTTCTACTCTAGTGCTTAGAGCGTCTTTTAAGACACTCTGTCTTAAGCGACCTCGGCCGCTGTGTGAGTCGGGGATTCCTGTGCGTTCGCAGCGGCGGAGCAGAGGCCGAGGCCGGGCCCGGAGGACAGCGCGGAGGAGGCGGCGCTGGCTGCGGGCGCGGGGCAGGAGCCGCCGGTGCCGGAGCCGCTGGTGCCCCCGCGGGGGCCGCGGCGCCGCTGCCCTCCCGCGCCCTGAGGCCCCCGCGCACCCCTGCGAGATGATGCTCCCTGTGCCAAGACGTTTGGGCAGTTCGGAGGCAGCTCCCTGCCCTCTGCGAGGGACTCTTGGCGTTTGTGACTTACGTTTTTAAGCCCCGGCTGGGAGCACAGCTCCCTCCTGAGCAGGAACGCAGCCTTTTCCAGGCAGCTCCAGCCCTGGCCCTTCCCTTTAAGCGCAGCGGGTTGTTCCCTGCACGGCCGCAGTCCTCCCTGCTGGACAGGGAAGGGCTCCCCCATCCCCGGCTGCTCTCCCGCTCCTTTAGGTGCTGAGTCTCTCTTAGAGCCCTCTGGGCGCCGAGGCTGGAGGCGCTTTCGGGTAGTGGAAGTTGGCAGCGTGGTGAACGCGCCGCGGCCCCGGGCCCCGCACGCGGAGCAGCGATATCGGCTCTTAGGCACCGCTAACACAAACAGCAGGATTCAAGCCCAAAAAGAGCTGTCACTTCAGAAAGTGACAGGCAAATTACTGGAAGATAAGGGAAGTTCTTATGCATAGTTTGTGCTGTTTCAGAGGGATTAGAGACCTGAAGTTTAATGGTGGTCCTCTAGACCAGCATATCCTATTTAGTTAGCCCCTGTAGGGACACTGAACAGGATTTTCTTTTAGTTTAGACTTGCCTGGAGATGTTCTCTTAACCCTTCAGTTTCTTCCCAAGTTGCTGTATAGTTTTGCTCAGGCAGCTAGTAAAATAAACCGTTGTTTCAGACAAGCCGAATGTCCCTTTATTTATTTAGCACTCAGAGGGTCTGACTTTGGGGAGGTGATGGACGGAACTGGACAAGGTCAGCAGCAAACAGGGTGGCCTGGATGCAGCCAGCGCAGGAGAAGGGCTATTCCCTGCCGGAGCAGCCCGGAGCCCCTTCCTCTCCCAGCAGATCCAGCACCTAGGGCTTGGCTTGCCCTGGGAAGAGCAGGAAGCACAGCCCGGATTAGTGCAAACCCAGCACGAACAGATGTGATTCAGGCTTAAGCACTGAGGGCCTGGAAACCAGTGTGGAAACCAGGGGCTGCACTGGCTCCTACAGCTGCTCATGCTCGGTGGGTGCCACGCTGGCAAAACAGGCTGGTGACAAACACAGGGGAGCAGGGGCTGCTCGGAGAGACCCGCGGTGCTGCCCGGGCAGCAACGTGCCGAGCAGCAGCGCGCGGCGCTTGCAGAGAGCAGCCTCCCACTTGCTTCCCTCAGTCTCCCTGCAGGAGCCTCCTGTACTTGCTCATCCGAACAGGGTGATGCTCTATTAAGATAAAATCAGAAAAAAAGAACCCCACGACTTGCAAGTGACTGATGGGTTCAGTGGTGGCTCTGCTGGGCAGCGGAGCAGCGGTGACTCACAGGCGGGAGTGGGTGTTGGATCAGCGAGGGAGAGAGGGAACCTCATTAAATCCTGCGCCCTTCAGAGAACCAAGGGCCTTTGAGAATGAGCTTTTATTTTTAAGGAGTTATTTAAAGATGTGTGTGGCTCCACAGCGAGCCGTAAATGCTGCGTGCCCCGGTTCAATGTGCTGCGCACGCGGGCCCAGCCGTCCCGCTGCCTCCAGCCCTGGGCACCCGGCCCCCCCTGCACCCCCGGCCCCAGCGGTCCTCACGTGGCCCCTGCCTTGGTGACCCTTCCGTGGCATTGAGGCAGGGGGACTAGCGGCAAGCGCGGAGCCTCGAGGAGTCGCCAGCATCGCCAGGGTGCGTGGGGCCTCGCTTTGTCCTCCCCTTGCGCCTGAATGAGCTGGCCGAGGCCATTGAGAAACGGCAGAGGTGGCGGGGACGGACGCGGGGCCTCGCAGCCCCCTTGGACCGTGTTTATTTTTAGTGCTGCTCGGCTGGTATCGGCGGGTGGGATGGAGCCGCTCGCGGCACTGGGTCACTGGCTTCCGCGTGGGCAGGCGCTTGCCGAGATTTCATCCCATGGTGGATTTTTATTTTCATTAATTTGCACGTCAGCAACTGTCATCGGCGAAGGAGGTAAAATTAGCTTGCAATTCACCCGCCCGCCTCGCTCTCCATAATAGATTCCTGGGATTGTTCTTCTGGAGGAGGGCAGGAAGGGAGGAATCAGCACAAAAGCCGAATGAGCCCGTTGGGTTTTTCTTCCTTTTTTTTCCCCTCCCCAGTCAAAAACCTTAATTGACTTGGCCGGAGCCCAGCCAAGGGAGGGGAGCGACAGTGCTCAGTGCGGCTCTGAATGGGGCTCCTGGAGGCTCCACGGGGGTCCTTAGAACGGGGAGGAGGTAAAACCTGCCCCCAGGTGCGGGCTGGGAAGCGGAGCCGGAGCACCCGACTCCAGGGGGAGCAGGAGAGCCCTGCAGGAGCCCGGCCGCGCTCCGGGGAGGTGGGAGCTGGGAGTGCTTCCCGCATGGAGCGGAGCGGAGCTGTCGGTGACGGCTGGCGCAGGCCTAGGGATCCCACACCCGTGGCCTCAGCCCTCGCTGAGCGCCACATTCCTGACCTTCCCGCTGCAAGGAGGTTGCCTGGGCGGGAGCCGTGGCGCTGGCGGTGCCTCCCGGGCAGCCCATGTCCCCGTCCCCTCCCTGCGCTCCGGTGGGATGCGTGGGACCCATCCCGGTTGTGCGGAGCCTCTGTGCCCTGCTGAGTGCCCGGCACGGGGCCCTGCCGCTGTAGGGAAGGATGGTGCTCATGGTCCCGGTGTCACCCCCGCGGTGGCTGCAGGCAGGGGCCCTCGTGGGCACCACAGGGCCTCGTCCCCTCGTGTCCTGCTCCGCGGGCGCGGGGCCGCCGCGCCGGGCGGTATCACCGCGGTTCCTGCAGCACCGAGACGCCGCGGGGCCGGGGGCGGCAGCGCCGGCCTCACCGCGTCACTCCCCTTGCAGGGCAGGTGCCTGAGGAGGAGGCCGGGCAGAACGGGCAGAGCCGCGGGCGGGCGCTGCCCAAGGGCGTCTGCATGAACGGCACCGAGGCGGCGCAGCCGGGCTCCAGGGCGCGGGCCGAGCGGCGGGCGAGCGCCTCCTCCAACCCGTCGCGCAAGGCCTGCTCCGCCAGCAGCAAGATCCGCAAGCTCTCCACGTGCAAGCAGCAGTGAGGCGGAGCGTGGCCGCGCGCAGGTACGGCTGCCCGAGCGCCGCGGAAAGGGGGTCCCTCCCCACGGGTGGGGGAACGGGTGGGGGGGCTCTGGGTCCCTGTGCCCACAAGAGGACGGAGCCGCCACCGCCTCAGGTAAGAGCCGCTACCAAGAGCCCGTTCCCTGGCCAGCCCTTCCCACGGCACCACGGGCCCCTCATCGTGCTCCATGTGCCGCGGATCCATCCCCATCCCGCCTGGCGCGGGGGAGGCCGCGTCCCCCCCTCCTGTCCCGCAGCCCCGTCCCCTCCCTCCCGGCCCTCATTCATGAGAGCAGCGGTGACTCATGCTCCGCGCTCATCCGCCCCCGGCTCGCTCGTCACCGCTCCGCGCGCTGCCGCTCTATCTGCTTGGATCACGACCAGCTTTGTGGTGTGAAAAATGCCAGGAATAAAAGCGCGTTCCTCCCCCTGCAGCTGTCAGCGCTGCGTGCCCGCGTGGCAGCTTTAATCTTTAATTCATGGCTGGGAATGAGTCACCTGCGCGGGGCCGGCCGGGCCAGCAGCGCGCAGAGCTCCCCGTGGGGCCACCGCTCCGCTCGGCATTCCCATCCCGGCGCCGCCGTCGGTGCTGCCGCCCTCCTGCAGGGATCGGGGTGACCCGTGGACGGGAATGGCCCCGGCTCCCCTTGGAACCCTCCTTCCCGGCTCCCGCCGGGGGCAGTGGCAGCTCCAAGGAGCCCCTGGCTGACGGGCCCGTCCATCCCTGTGCTCTCTGCAGACGGCGCCGTGCCCAGCACCCCGCGGCTCCGGGAGCCGCCCGCGGATCCGAACCGAAAACCCCGGAGGCGACCGAGGCCGCCGGCGCCGCCGCGGCCGCCCTTTGCCAATCAAGACACTGATTCTGGTTTTAATTTTGCGCCGCGCGGGGCCGGCCCGCACCCCGCGGGGCCCTGCCGAGCCCCCGGCTGTGTAGAAGTCGTGCAAAGCCATTGCCGTGCACTTTATGTTTTAGACTACTGTTATATATTATATATTTTCCTCTTTTTTTTTGTTTATATTTGCAGTATATTTAGAGTTTCCTACACATCGTGATGTGTTTAAAATAAACCCGATGAGGAGAAAAAAAAAAAAACAGGTATTAAGACAAAGCAAAGCTCTATTAAACCTGCATGCTGTAAAAGGGCTCAGAAAAGGGAATGGGTGCGTTCTTAGTCTTCTTTTTTTTTTCCTTTTCTTTTTTTTTTAAAGAAAAACAAATAAAGTGAAAACGCAGCTGGGTGTCCTGTCCTGTGCTTCCTGCAGCCGGCGCACCTCGGGCTGCTTCCTCTCTGCTCCTCTTCGCTCGCAACCACGAGTGGCAGCGTCACATGCAGCAGGGCACCACAGGGCCCGCCCGCCTGGCGCCAGATCCGGGGTCTCTCCTTGCCCCCATCCCTGGGGAAACCGCACAGAAGCTCCGAGCGGCAGCGCTCGCCCGGTAGAACCCGGCAGCTCCCGGGGCCGCACGGGAGGGCAGGGCCGTGGGGCGCCCCGCTCCTCGTGCCCGGCCTGCGGGGCTGTCGCCGTCGTAGCCCTGCCCGTGCAGGGCCCTGGGGCTGCTCCTGCTCCCTGAGCCCCGGGGAGGCAGAGGGAGCCGCGCGCTTGGTCCCTGCGCAGCCACTGCCGCCGCCGTCCCGCCGCTGCCGCTGGGGCTGGCTGGGAGACACCCCCTCTGCACGAGGGCCGGTCCTGCTGCCGGGGGCAGCTGGGGCCCCCAGCCCGGCGGGGTTATTGCTCGTGACGCCTGGGGGCCGCGGGCAGCGTCCTCAGCGCTCACTGCCCGGCCCCGCGTTCCTGGCAGGGCCCTGGGCCCCTCTGCGGCCCCGCTCCGGGGCGGGTGCCCGTCCCGTCCCGCCGCGTCCACGCGCTCCCCGCGCCCGCTCTGCCGGCCCTGCGCCCTACACGGGGCCGTGGTCGGGGGGGGCGTCGCTGGCGGCCACGGCCAGGGTGGGCTGGGGGCGCC